TGACCACTTGTGCATTTCCAGTAAAGATCCCTTCGCTTCCGTCATCTCCAAGTCGGGCAAGGTGGTACAAACCCGGGAAGACCTCAGCTTCGGAGCTGCTGGAATTTGTGTGACTTACGCCCTCCAGTGGTCACTTGACAAACGACATGGGGCTCCGGGGCCAGGGACTTGAGCTTGCATCAGAAGTGGGAGGGAGCCAGGAATGCCTCTTCTCAGTGCCTTCCTTTGAGAGTTGAGTGGAGTGAAGGCTCCACAGGACACGGGACCCACCACAGGGCATGCACACACCCAAATGGAAAGAGCCACATCGGGTTTCTTTCACGTCCCCTCTTTATCATTTGTGTCACATCTGCATGCACCTATACTGTTATTTGCTTAAACATTTTCTCTTAAACTGGCTCTTTTTAAGCCTTAAGTATATTTCCCAAATAAAATTTTTTTCACTTTCCATGAAGTGGGGCACACAGCGGGAACTCCATCTCCTCCTTCCGTGGCCTCACACAGAGCTGGCACCAGACACTGACATGGAGGGGAGAACATTCAACCCCAGGTCGTCCTCAGCTCCTACCCTGGCTTCAGTTTCCCACTCCCTCCTGGCCACCTCTCCTTGCCCCTGTGTGTACCCACCTGTAGCAAAATGGGCACACACACAGTGGGCACACAAGGTGGGGTCCAGTCGAGGTCTCAGACCTGGGTCAGTCCTCAGCTTTGCCACTTACAAGCCAAGGGACACTGAGCTGCTTGCTCAAACTTTCTGTATCTCAGTTTCCTTATCTGTGAAGTGGAGATTGCATTATAATAGTATAATACGATCACACAGCGTTGTTGAAGGATTAACTGAGATGAGAAACAGAAAGCCCAGGGCCTGGCCGTATTTATGGACCATGTGCCAAAGAAAGTACAAGCTGGGACTCCAGGGTTGTAACCCTGCAACCACCTGCCTGTGTGATCTTGGATACGTCACTTGGCTTTGCTGAGTCTTAATTTCCCTGTCTATAAAATGGGGCTAGTGATCATTGCTACCGCACGGGACTTATGTGGATTAAATGGTTGGTGTGTTTAAGTGCCTTGCTCAGTAAACGGTAGCTCTGCTCATTGTTTTTGTAGAAAGGGCTTCAAAGTTGCTAACTTCCGAGGGCTAACTGGACCTGAACCATCTTCACAGCCTGGCATAGGGACAGATCAAATTGAATCCATGGAAAATCATTTCCAGGATAATGAGGCCGAGGCATTCCCGTGCTGATTTCTATCAGCTGGTTTCTATCCCGTGCTGGTTTCTGTCCGCCCGGGGCAGCCTGGGAATGCAAGGAGGAGGGAGCTTCTCCGTGGCCGCCTCAGAACCTCCATCACCACCCTCCGGGGGCCCACCTGTCCCCCCCCTACCCTTCAAGGTGCTCTTTGATTTCTCCCCAGCTGAATTCACCTGCCGCATCCATCAGCAGAAGAGGCCCAGGAATGCAGCCTGCTGGGTGGGCAGGGCCAAGAGGAAGGCAGCGTTGCAGGCCCAGGAAGCTGCAGGAGATTTCGAGAGGGGGATGTCTGCCAACCTCCAGCAGACGGGCCAGCCCTGGGCCCTGCAGATAGGTGCTCTGGGGAGGGTACCAGAAGCTCACTGTGTCCTGGCTCAAAGGCTGTCTGCTGTGTGAGCTTGGTGAGTCTCCTAACCTCTCTGTGTCATCACAATCATTATAACTATTTTTACTCCCCTCGTCTTCCTGTTTGCCGGTTAAGAGAGGATTGGGATAGTGGTCATGGTTACACAACATAGTCAATATTTTAAAAACCGTTGAATTTTACACTTTAACGAATCGGTAATTTCATATTATGTGAATTTTATTCCAATTAAAAATACCTACATGAATTTAATGCGACAGAGAGAGAGGATCGGGAATTTAAAAGCAGGTGTTTGTGGTGGATCGGGGACCTGACTGAGGCTACTTCAGAAGGCAGTTTGGCACCACTTGCTCTGTGTCAAGAGGGAAATTGTTACTCTCTGACCCCAGCGAGGATCATAGATTCTTGTGTGGCTGCCTTTTTGCTTGATGGTTCAAAGCATTTTCTTGTGTCAAGTTTACTTTTATTTTTGTTACCATTTGTCATGAGAAAAGTCAGGCCCAGGGAGAAGTGGCATTTCCAAGGCCACATAGCAGGTCGGCCGTGGAGCTGTCACTTGAACCTGACACCTTTCAGGCTGAAGGAAACCAGAACATGCCACCCCCAAATATGCCGATGTGGAGACCTGATCATTTCCAGCTGAAGGCGCTTGAGAAAGAGCAGCTAGAGAGAGGCTATCTGAACAGCCCCGTTCTGCCTGCAGTCAGCCACAAACATTCCTTGCAGAAAGATGCTTTCCTAGCATCAAGATGAGAAGATAGCTTTTATCAGCAAAGAGATGGTCCCAGAGTCATCTACAAATACGAACAAACCTTGCTGCCCCACTCCTTAGCTCACTGCCATGTGTTTACCTGCTCACAGCTTCCCAGCCCTGGAAGCCTACAGCTGCGTTCCTTTATCCCGTCACTTTTCCTTCCTTCCTTCCTTCCTACATTCCTTCCTTCCTTCCTTCCTTCCTACGTTCCTACATTCCTTCCTTCTCTTTCTTTCCTCCTTTCTTTCTTTCATTCTCTCCCCTCTTTCTTTTTTTTCTTTTTTTTTTTTTTTTTTTTTTTTTAGAGAGAGGCTGAAGTGCAGTGGCGTGATCATAACTCTCTGCAGCCTCAAACTCGCAGGCTCAAGCGATCCTTCTACCTCATCCTCCTGAGTAGCTAGGACTACAGTAGCTGGGGAAGCCACCATACCCAGCTAATTTATTTTCAATTTTTCTGTAGAGATTGGGTCTCACTACGGTGCCCAGGCTGGTCTCGAACTCCTGACCTCAAGCAACCTGCCCACCTCAGCCTCCCAAAGTGCTGGGACTCCAGGCATGAGCCACCGTGCCCGGCCATCTTGTCACTTTCTAAAATGCATTGCTCTTCATGGCAGACACTCCGAAAGCTGGAGTTCACTGAGGCTTCTCCTGTGTGATGTGCCTCACAGACTTTAACAAGCCTGCTTGTTCTTTTCTGTATTAATAATTTCTTTTGTTACAGCTGTCTGTCCAACAGAAAACTTAGGAGGATTGAGGAGAAATTATATTTCCTTCCCAGCTGGCTAATTCCAAATGTGTCCTCAAGCCTGATACTCAGTTTAGGCAGTAACTGCTGACTCGAACCCTGCCCCAGGTCAAGAATGCCACAATGAGCAGACGCTGCATTGGAGGGGCACCCCAGATGACATGCTTGACAGATCAAACAACTGAATAACTGCATTTTCTGAAGGAAAATCAACCAAGTGTTTTGAGGCCGAGTAGATGGGATTCTTGAGGATTCCATGAACAGCAAGCAGTAGTATCTCCCTCAGAGTCTCTTGAGTGGGGGCATTAAATGGGTTAATACATGTGTTTGCTGGAGGAATAGCCAGAATATGTGAAAGCAGTTACAGGGAATAGAGTGCAGCAAACTCCTATTCATCCCTCAAAACCCTACCCTGGTATCCTCTCCCTTGTAAACTTTCCCTGAACAATACAGAACCAGCTACATCAGCACCATGCCATCCCTCCATCACTACAGGTATCACTCTGTACTATGCTTATCCATTCATTTTTCTAGACTTTGCACTCGCCGAGGCCAGGATTCTAACTCTTTCCTCAGTGAGCGTTGTTTACCTGAACTGAATCAGCTGAAGCCTGAAAGATGGCTTTGATATGCCAAAAGTCATTCCAGCTTACTCCTGTTTTTCATTCATTCATCTACTCATTCACTCAACAAAGACCTTTGAGCTCTGATATTTATGTCGTCTTGTGACTCTTAATTTATCTTTGACAAAGCTACTGTATTATCAGGCTGAATTTAACTTGGGGAAATAACAGGCAGGAGATTAGCGGACGGTGGCAACAGTGAGTTGGGACTGTGAGATCAAGCACGATTTTTTTCCTTTTGCTTCTCAACGCTTCCCTAATGTAGTTATTATTTTTCTTTTATGATGAAAAAATGCATATGTATAGGAATGCTGTATTTGAGGCACCATAAGGAATGAAATTATAGCTCAGGCGCAGTGGCTCACCATTGTAATCCCAGCACTTTGGGAGGCTGAGGTGCGCAGATCACTTGAGCTCAGGAGTTCGAGACCAGTGTGGACGATATGGTGAAACCCAGTCTCTACCAAAAACACAAAAACATTAGGTGGGCATGGTTGTGTGCACTTGCAGGAGGCTGAGGTGGGAGGATCGCTTGAGCCTGGGAGGCAGAAGTTGCAGTGAGCAGAAATTGTGCCACTGCACTCCAGTCTGGGTGACGGAGAGATACCCCATCTCAAAATAATAATAATAAAAGAAATGAAATTAAATGATAATAAATTATCACTTTTTTATATAAGAAGTGATCATTTCCATTATCAGAAAAGGAATTTTTTCCCCTGTAGAAAAATTCCTACCTGACATTCCGCCAAAGCTTACCTAGTGCTACAGGGTGAGGTGTTAGTAAGTAAGACCATATTCGGAGGCCTCTCTGTGCCAACTGCCTGTCTTCCTTTCCCTTCCAAAAACCTCAAGTGACTAGTTCAGGGACCTGTCTGGAATAAGGGCATCATTTAACATCACTGGACTTCAGGAACTTCGGCATTTTCCAGCATGTCCCATACTGTCAATATCCCTCCAGGTTCCTGGACTCCCGTCACAAGCTGGAAAAGTGAGAGGATGGACAGGGATTAACCAAAGAGTTCCTGCTGAGGAAAAAATTCCCCAGATGCCAAAAGTCAGGCAGTGTGGCTTGGCCAAATACAGCCTGGCTCCGTGGTGCCTCTATCTTAGCGGCTACCCTGCTAGTGAGCTGCCACCTTGGACTTGGGACCAGGAAGAGGTGGGCTGGCTGAAGATGCACCACACAGAGTGATGTAACAGCAAGATCAAGTCACCCGCAGACCCTGGCAGTCACAGTCATAAATGAGCTAACTGTACACCCAGCCGGGGACACTCCCTTTGGAAAAAAAAAAAGAGCTCTTTATGCAAAAACAACCCTCTGGATGGCATGGGGTGAATATAAATACTTCTTGACTGCCAGTGTGTTTATAACTTTGCAGCGAGTCAAAAACTGAGGCTCCAACCCCAGAGAACACAGCCTCATCACTGCTTTAAACATCTCTCGGCCGCCTTTGGCGAGGGAACTGAGCAGTTCCAGACAGTCCCGAAGCTCCCAAGGCACAGGTCTCTTCCCAGTTGGACTCTCCTTACCCCGGGGAGGCAGTGCAGCCCGCTGCGAGGTGAGTTGCCTTCATTTCTGGGAAAGCGGCTGTTTTGAGAGGGTTTTGTTTCTTCCCGTTTGAGAAGGCTTAGAAAATTGTGGGAATTTTCTGCCTACAGAGAGAAGGTGATAGGAAGTCTAGGTAAAGAAATGCCAAGATAAGGTTCAATCATTTGAACATGGCATCTCCATCAGATTTCTCTTCTTCAGATACTGGCTGTGGTTGCTACATTACAAGGAGAAACTTTCTGAAAAGTCCAGAATGGGAGCCTGTGTCTGCTAAGAATTTTCTTTAACATAGATTATCTATCTTATTCAGTCCTTATAATATATAACCTCCCCACAAATCCTGGTGAGATGGATATATTAAACCCATTTTGTGGATGAAGAAATGAGTTTCAGTTAAATAACTTAATCCAGGACACATAACTGGTAGAGCTAGGATTCCAGAATTTGAACACAGGTCCAAGGGGCTATAAGTTCTTTCCTTTTTTGCTTTCCCTCCCTCCCTCCCTCCCTCCTTCCCTTCCTCTGTCTTCCCTCTTCCCTCCTTCCTTCCTTCTTTTCTTTCCTTCCTTCCTTCCTTCCTTCCTTCCTTCCTCTTTCCTTCTTTCTTTTCTTTCTTTCTCTTTCTTTCTTTCCTTCTTTCTCTTTCTTTCTTTCCTTCTTTCCTTCTTTCTCTCCACTCATTCATTCAACAAAGGCCTTTGAGCTCTGATATTTATGTCGTCTTGTGGCTCTTAATTTATCTTTGACAAAGTTACTGTATTACCAGGCTGAATTTAACTTGGGAAATACAGGAAGGAGATTAGCGGACGGTGGCAGCAGTGAGTTGGGACGGTGAGATCAAGCGCAATTTTTTTCCTTTTGCTTCTCAACGCCTCCCTAATGTAGTTATTTTTCTTTTATGATGGAAAAATGCATATGTATAGGAATGCTGTATTTGAGGCATCATAAGGAATGAAATTATAGCTCAGGTGCGGTGGCTCACCCTTGTAATCCCAGCACTTTGGGAGGCTGAGGTGGGCAGATCACTTGAGCTCAGGAGTTTGAGACCAGCATCTATCTTCCCTCCCCCCTCCCTCCCTTCCTTCCTTCCCTCCTTCCTTCTCTCTCTATTTTTTTTTTGGAGACAGGGTCTCACTCTGTTGCCCAGGCTGGAGTGCAGTGGCGTGATCACAGCTCACTGCAGCCTTGACTGCCCAGGCTCAAGTGATCCCTCTGCCTCAGCCTCCTGAATAACTGGGATCACAGGCACAAGACACCATGCCTGCTTATTTTTAATTTTTTTTGTGCACAAGATCTCCCCATGTTGCCCAGTATGAACTCAAACCTTCGGGCTCAAGTGATCCTCCTGCCTCGGCCTCCCAAGGTGCTGCGATTACAGGCCTGAGTCACTGTGCCTGGCCTAGAAGTCTTACATGAACTATATTCACTACATTGTCTTAGAAAGACAGTTTCTGCCAGGCGCGGTGGCTCACGCCTGTAATCCCAGCACTTTGGGAGGCCGAGGCGGGTGGATCACGAGGTCAAGAGATCGAGACCATCCTGGTCAACATGGTGAAACCCCGTCTCTACTAAAAATACAAAGAATCAGCTGGGCATGGTGGCGCATGCCTGTAATCCCAGCTACTCAGGAGGCTGAGGCAGGAGAATTGCCTGAACCCAGGAGGCGGAGGTTGCGGTGAGTCGAGATCGCGCCATTGCACTCCAGCCTGGGTAAAAAGAGCGAAACTCCGTCTCAAAAAAAAAAAAAAAAAAAAAAAGAAAGTTTCTGCCTCTTTGATCTTCCTCTTGTCTCTTTCAAAGGAGATGATCTCAGGTTTCTAGAGTTGAGTGCATTTTTCACAGTTTCTCCCCACATAATAAAAGAGGAGCAAGTGATAATACTGACTTAGAACAGTTGCAAAGTCTTTAAAAGAATGGCAGCTACAGCTTGAGTGCTTTCCCAGTAACAGACCTAAAACTACAGTTGCTAATAAGAGCTGCTGGAAAGTGTCTTTCAGGGTCAGGCAAAGGCAATCCTGTTTTAGTGACCTCCTGGCTCTTCCTCACCCTGCCTGGGGCTGGCGATAAAGCTTGGCTAGGAACAGTGGACCAGCAGGTCCCGCTCAGGAGCCTCACCGGACATGTAGTTTGTCCTTGTTACATGGCAATGGGGTAGGGGGTCCCGTGTTTTCTCTTTAGATTGTTAGGTGGCTTTACAGAATTGAAGTCTGTGTCTGAAGCCTCCCCATTCCAACCCCCAAATAGAGACAGAGGTTGCAAAGCACTGATGAAGGGGCTCACGCTGGTGTTCGTGTCGATTCTTCAGTGAGACAACCCCATTGAGAAGCCCAATGCTGTAATTCTCCAACCTTCCCTCACCTCTGCTTCCCTTCGTCAGCCCCACAGTGAAGAACGTCTGAGCTCAAATCCAGAGAAGTGACATAAGTGCCCCACTTTGCAAAACCACAGAGATGGCCTGTCCTTGGAAGTTTCTGTTCAAGGCCAAATTCCACCAGGATGTAAAGACGGAGGGAAAAGACATCAATAACAATGTGGGCAAAATCCCCTCTGCCACCTCCAGGTGAGTGTTCCCCGGGGGCGCTTCCCGCTTGTCTCCTTGGGCACCCATGCCCTGTTGGTGCCAGTGACTCAGAATTCCTCTCTCTGCTCCTCCTCTCTCACTTGAGATCTGATCTCGTTTCTTCTTGGAAGTCCCTGTTAGAATTAAATGAAGTCGCTGATGATTGGGGATCTTGCTGTGACTGAGGACAGTATGTGGAGGAGGAAGGGACATGGCACGGGGCTGGCCCTGAAGGAGCTTGGAATCTCTTGGGGAGGAATATGGGAAGGAGCTTGACCTGAGAATGGGAGGCAGTAGAGCCTGGTGGTGGGAACCAGAGAGGGGGCCTGGGGGTGGGGGATCGGCATCCTGGTCTGCGTCCATTCCACTTCACCTCTTGATGGATGCTTTGAATATCATCCCAGTGAAGGGTATCAGGATGTTAGACAAACTAGTTCCAAGTCCTGTGCTGGTGGCACTGGCTGCCCAGTGCTGCCTCTCGCTGGCTGTGTGACTTGGGGCAAGTTAACCTCTCTGAAACTTAGTGCTCACCTGCGGTATGAGGAGCCCAAGGGGGCACTCCTCACGGTGTGCTGAGGATGAAATGAGATCCGCAGCGCTCAGCACCATGCCTGCACAGAACAGCGCTCAGTCCACACCGGGGTTCATAGCCATCTACTAAGTACCTGCCCTTACCAGAGCTACACGGGCCACTTTACGTACTTTGCATCTCAACTGATCTCTGCGGCGGCTCTGTGAAGTTTGTGTGATTGACTCTTTTCACATATGAGGAAATAGGAACTCTGATACATTTATGACTTTCCCCAGCTTGAATGACCAGTAATTACAGAGTTGGAATTGGAGTCCAGAGTTGGATTCTTCATGTCCCTCCTCCCCAGGACTGTCCCTCCTCCCAGGGCAGAACCGAGAGAATGAGTCAGTCAATGAAGGAGTCAGGGTACAGGCTTGAGGCTTGCTCAGGTGGAAAGACAAGGCAATCTGCAATAACACAATTGTGTAACTCAAAGCCCCCATCTGCACAGGGGCACCACAGAGCCACACAGCCCCACCACACAGCCACACAGCCCCACCACCTCGGAGGAGCCTTTCCCATGGACTACAAAGGGCAGGGCGCCCCCTGGAGGTGTGCAGCATCATGGCCCTGAGTGTATGTGTCAGAGGCGGCAAAAAGCTCCAATGGCTAAGAGGATGGGCTTGGGGATGAGCAAGTGGCTTGGCCACTCAGTAGCCCTGTACCGGTCGGCACGTCCCCTAGCCTCTGAGCCCCAATTTCCTCCTCTGTAAAAAGAGGGTAGCAATGGTGATTTACTGGATTTGGGATAACGATTAAATGAGATTTCCCATGCAAGCAACTTAGCACAGTGCCTGACCCGGAGTAAGTGCTCAGCAAATGGCACTGTTTGCATTGTCATCATTAGTGGTGGTGTTGGCAGCTAGGAGGTGGTAGAGCAACATTAAACAGAGTTCCCTCTAGGGGCATCACAGAAGTCAGGTGGACTCTGTGGCCTTTGAAGTACGGGTAGAATGTAGATGGGTGCAGAGAAGTAGCAAGGACATTCAGGAAGAGGGGCAAGGTGAGCAGAGACTCAGAGGCAGAAATGAGCCAGACTGCGCTTGGTCAGGAGTGGATTGGGGGCTGGGATAGGGGCGGCCAGGCTAGAGAATGAAGGCTTGAATGCAGAGTCAGAGACTTGGGCTTGTTCTGCCTGGCAGTAGGGAGCCATTGTAGGTCCTTGAGCAGGACAGTCCAGGTGTGGTGTGGCAGGTAAACTGGAGGAGAGGACTTTGAAACCAGGTAGTCTGGGCTGTGGCAGCCAAGGTGGCTAAGAGAACAAGAGATGAGAACACAGGGTGCTCTGCTGGCACTTCAGATTCTAAGGGCTGTGGAGGGACAGTGGCTTCACCCCTCCTCCTCTTCGCCTCCTCTTCGCAGCCCCTGCCAGCTGGCCTCCCCGACTCCAGTTCCCCACACTGGCTCTGAGCTCTCTCCTGCCAACTGGGCATCTAGCAAGTCGTGCCCCTATTCTAGAGCCTGCAGTAGCTCCCCATTGCCTGTCGCCACATTAAAGCTTCCACAGAGTTCTGTGTGAGCACCCTACCCAAATGGAGAGCCCATCCTACTGGCCCAGCCCAGCCTTCCTCAGCTCCCCAGTGCCTGCGCACAGCACATTCCTCTCTCAGCTTATCCAGACACAACCCATTCCCTATTTTTTGTCTTTTTAAAAATTTTAAATGTAATTTTTTATTGAGGCAGGGTCTCAAAAACAGTCTGCGCTGTTGCCCAGACCTCAGTGCAGTGGCTCCAAATCAGCTCACTGCACTGCAACCTCCGCCTCCCAGGTTCAAGGGATTCTCCCACCTCAGCCTCCCAAGTAGCTGGGACTATAGCCACCACGCTTGGCTAACTTTTGTATCTTTAGTAGAGATGGGGTTTCACCCTATCAGCCAGGCTGGTCTCGAGCTCCTAACCTCAAATGATCCTCCTGCCTTGGCCTCCAAAAGTGTTGGGATTACAGGTGTGAGCCACTGCACCCAGGGTTCTCTTTTCTTTCCTCTCTCTCTCTTTTTTAAAGTTGAGAATCTTACTATGTTGCCCAGGCTGCTCTTGAACTCCTGAGCCCCAGCAATCCACGAACTGTCTTTCCATATCACCCTGAATCTCTCTCCTCCCAAAACCCTTACCGTGCTGCCTGCAGTCTTTAACCCTCATCCCCCACACTCTCTAATAGCATTGCTAATTATCCCTGTGTCTTTGGGGACTGACTTGTGGATTGACTTGTGTCTTTGGACCATTCAGGAAACGTGAGTTCAGACCTCAGGGAGGGCCCTGAGCTGCAGTGGACCTGTGGCAAACCAGCTAACTTGACCATCTTTTCCGCGCTCCTCTTCACGCTGGGGTGGGCTGGTGGAAAGGCTCCAATCAGATAGAAGAGGGGCTGAAGAAAAAATATCGCATCAATTTATTTAACTCTCCCAGCGATCCATGAGTTTTAGTCATCCCATTTTAAGGGTGAGGACTCTGAAGCCTAGGAAGTTGAAGTAATTTTCAAGATCTCATAGTTAGCAAATGACAGAGCCAGCATTCAGATCTGAGCAGCCCAGAGGGACCACCGCATGAGGCGGCCACCTTTTGTGTCCTGGGCAAGTTCCATTCCATGGACCAGTACATGCAGATGCCCACTGCCTGGCTCTGTGCTGGAAATGAAGATATCAGTGAAACCCTTCTGCTCTTCGGTGAATTGTTTGAGCCACTTATTACTTGCATACACCACTGCTAAAAACAGTAATGAGACAGGAACTATTACCCTTGTTTTATAAGATTGAGCAATGTATTGGAGGTCAATACCTGGAAAATGGTGGCGCTAAGGTTTTAATCAAGTCCAAAGTCGTAACAGCTACACTACCTAGGCTCTCCCGGAGGGCCTACGGTGTGCCGGACTGTTCAAGAGACAGAGAAAAAAGACTCAGTTTCTGCTGTCAGGAAGGAAATGGGGAAACCGATGCCTTCCTCACTGGTTTGGGAGGTGTACATGAAGAACTCGATGTTAAAAAATTGGAGAAATTGTGTCAGGAGTAGGTGGGACAGAGAGTAGACAGGAGGTAGCACGTGTGGGTGCACTGGCATCGTGGTAGAGGCCTCTTCTGGGGTGACTGCCGAGGTGCCTGGCCTGACTGTAGTGTGGGGAGGAGTCAGGGGAGAAGGCTTTTGGGAGGAGGAGGGACCACCCAGAGAGCAGCATCCATCCAAGTGAGGGGAGTGGATATTACTGGAAGAGGAAGCAGCCATACAAAGGGGATTTCATCCCGAAAGCAATGGGAGCTAATGAATATGTTTTGATTTTAAAAAGTAATTTTCTAATCTGTTCAGGTGTCATGAGACCAAGAACCTAATTTACTGATGATTCTATATCTTTTGTTAACAATTAGAAAGTGAGCATGGGGTGTGTGCGTGTGTGTGTGTGTGTGTGTGTGTGTGTGGTGTGTGTGTATTTTAGAGACAAAGGCAAACATGGGAGCATCTAGGTGAAGACACGTAGAATTCAGAACCAAGTTGAGCTACGTGTTGCTAGCTGGGCTGCAGTTGGCTGGGAATAAATATGCGTCCTCTCATTCTGCTTTAACTGGGGTTTGGGATTTAATGTGCTTGCACACGGCCAGGAGGGCCCCCTGCACATTGAGGTCTGGGGCTGCTGCCCCATCTGGGTCTGGATCGTACCATTTATTCTGGTCCGTGAAATACAAAGAGCAACTTACAGGTGGAGCAAAGTCCGGAGGCTCTGCGCAGTTCAGGTAGCAAGGACGAGGGGCCTGCAAGGCACGGGAGCGCGCTTACAATTCCCCCTGCTATGTTCCCACAGAAATCACCCCCAACCCATTGCTTTCTTTAGTTTCTTTCTGGAATCACAGAGAGCATGCTGTATATAACAAGTGGGCTGTAACACTTCCCGGGACAGCCTTGTGAGGTGGTGTGAGCTCAGGCTGAGCTGTGGTCCAGGGGGCTGCTGTGTGGCCCTGGACAAGATCCTTAACCTCTCTGGCCCCAGCTAATGCCTCAATAAAGTGGAGATGACAACATACAGCTGCCTTCTTGACCGTATTTAGTAAGGACTGGACGAAATGACAGAAAGGAAATTTGCTATGTAAACTAGAAACCACCGCGCAATGGGGTAATGATGGTAACCTTTATTGAGATTTTATGGGGAATAAACAAACCCGAGGCCGGACACCACCCCGGGCTCTTAGCCCAGACACGGTCCTGTGTCATCCAAACTCCACGGTGGCCGCTGGCCGTGCGCCTCTGGGTGCTTGCGGCCCGGGATCACCGGGGAAGGCGGGGAAGGCAGGGCGGCCCTACCCGGGGCATACCGCGGGTGAAGAGCCCCGGCCGCTGCTTGGCTCGCCCCGCCCCGGGGCGGTGACCACGGGGTCTGAGCTATAAAGCGCGGACTCAGGGAGGCGCGGGGAACCCGCGGAGCTGCGCCTGAGTAGCCCGGCCATGCGCGAGGGGCTGGGCGCGGCGTGCGAGGCCGCCGGGCCCCGGCTGTGCCGGCTGCTCCGCAGGATCCTCTGGCCGAAGCCGGCCTGCTGCCCGCGCCGAGCCAGGTACCCCGCTGGCTGGGGTCCACCCTGGGAGGGAAGCGGTGGGTTCGGAGCCCGGGCGTGGCTCCCAGCCTCTCTGGGAGAAATCGGAGGGCGGGGATGTGCGCCCTGTGGGGTTCTTGAAGGTTTACTGAGACGTTTTCCTCGTTTAGAACGCGTGGAGGTCGCAGTTTAGGAGCCCTGACCGCCCCCCATGTGTCACGAGAGGCGTCTAAGCGGGTTGTGTTGCGCTGCGCGTTTCAGCACTTGGGAGCTTTTAAAAGTTTTCAGCACTGGGGTTGAAAGTTGCTACACTTTTTGGATCAAATATGTTTAAGAGAGCAAGGAGGTTCTTCTTTGACCAATGAGATCCATTTCCCAGGGCACCACCCATCACCACCTGTCCCCACCACCACCCTTGATGTAAGGCGAGGTAGGCGGGCAGGGAGGCGTGGGAACCCGCAGCGGAATCTGGCCCCCAGGTCAGCCCAGGCAAGCCACAGTCTGCAGCTGTGACCAGCGACTTCCTCGGCTGGCCAAGGGCTTGTGGAAAGTTCTGGGTCTTTCCATTCCCCACTCCCCCGACCCCTTTTTTGACAGGGTCTCACTCTGTCGCCTAGGCTGGAGAACAGTGGCGCCATCTCGCCTCACTGCAATCTCTGCCTCCCGGGCTCAGGTGATCCTCCCACCTCAGCCTCCTGAGTAGCTGGGACTACAGGCGTGCGTCACCACATCGGCAACATTTTTGTGGGTTTGTTTGTTTGTTTTTTGGTAGAGAGAGGGTTTCACCATGTTGCCTAGGCTGGTCTTGAACTCCTGGGCTCCCACCTCAGCCTCCCAAAGTGCTGAGATGACAGGTACGAGCCACCGTGCCCGGCTGCCAGCACTCTCTTTGATGGCAGGTCCTTAAGGGTCCTCAGGACCTGGCACAGCTGTGGGTTTAGTCAAGTTGCTTGAGCGTTTGTGGGGTCGGAAACAATGTGGTAATTTAGAAAGAAATGTCCAGATCCTAAATGTGCTCACCCGGCATCTGGTAACCCAGGCTCCCAGGAGCCAGCCAGAAGAAATGGTGGGGGAGGGGACTGGGCAAAGCTTTGTGTATTCATTTTTCAAATTTAAAGAATTGCCCAATTATGAAAGGAATTCATGGTCACTGTAAAATGTTGGAAGATGTGGAAAAGTATAAGAAAAGTTAAATTGCCCATGGTCTTATCACTTAATGCTAGTCACTGTTAACATTCACTAGCATTCCCCCGAGGTGTTTTTCTGTGCTTGTACACACACACACAAACACACACACACGCCAGCATCAGACCATGTATACAGTTTAAGGCTTTATTTATGTGAGGGCAAAACTAGACACAATCTAACATCCAGCCATGGATGATGGGACCAGGCTAACCATGGCCAATCTGCATCATGGATTTTTAGGCAAATTTTAAAAATGATACTTTGTAATAGATGGGGTAAATGATTGTGTTCAGTGTACAAAGACATTGCTTCTCAATCTAAACAGTACTGTAGATGTTTCTGGTCTGAAGCTTCTGAAATTGTCCAACCCTACTTCCAGAAGTAAGTGAGAGGAAGCAAGAACGCAGGTGCAGGGTGGGGTGAGGGGAATAGCAAAGAGCAAGGGGGTCAGTTGCCTCTCTGGGGACCCATCCCCCAAACATCTTCCTATTGAAGCAGCCCCCTGATGACTGCTCACCCGTGGCTTACCTGTTCTGAATGTCCAGATTACCATATATTGTTGTTTTTTTCTGGCAGACCATACCAGTCTAGACCAGAGTGGGGGGGTGTGTTAAAAGAAAAAATTATTCAGTGATACTTGTTTGTTTTTGTTTTTGTTTTTTTGAGATGGAGTCTCGCTCCGTTGCCCAGGTTGGAGTACAGTGGCCTGATCTCGGCTCACTGCAACCTCCACCTCCCAGGTTCAAGCAATTCTTCTGCCTCAGCCTCCCGAGTAGCTGGGACTACAGGTGCACACCACCACATCCAGCTAATTTTGTATTTTTTAGTAGAGACAGCATTTCACCATGTTGGCCAGGCTGGCCTTGAATTTCTGACCTCATGATCCGCCTGCCTTGGACTCTCAAAGTGCTGAGATTACAGGTGTGAGCCACAACACCCAGCCTCAATGATACTTGTTAAAGAACAGTATGGAAGACTTTATTTAGGACCATCTCCATAGGTCCAGGGACCTACTGCAGTGGAGGCTTGCAGTGGAGAAGTGACAGCAGGAACAAGTGGGAATTTACAGCCAGGTATCAGGGCAGGGTCTGTGGATGAAAAATTGCCAAGAAAAACTTCAGGCATAGGGGGGACTCTGCCTCAAGTGATCTAACAGGATTCTTGCTTGGGACAGGCTAAAGTGATCAAATATCACCTGAGGGATGATGGAGGATGAGGACTCTGATCAGATAGGGAGGGTGACCAGCTATCTAGGATGGAGGGCTCTCGTTAAAAAAAAACTGCATTTTTACAAGGAAATGCATAGATGGGCACAGCAGAAGATTCTGAAGTCTGAGTAAAGTTTGGCCAAGCAAAGGATCTTTGCCAGGTGGCAATCGTTGGTCACATGGAAGGCCCTTTACAGGCTTGCAGAATCCCTTGATTCAGATATAGGTTGCTTTCTGATACTTACATACTCTTTTAAGACAGTATCTCTTTATTGTTATAAATCACTTACTGCTGCTATATAATGTATATAATTAATTATAGTGGTAACATATGCTCATTTTTTCCAATAATAAAAGCAATACATGGTCATTTATCCCATTTCAACATCATAGATATGTATGAAGCAGAAAATGAGAGACCCCGCAATAGTCTCTAAGCCCCTCTCCCTCTGATGCACAGGCATGTACACCCCGGAAAATACTGCCGAGAACACCGAACACAATACACTTTCAAACCATTTCATTCTCCTCGGGAGGCATGTGTGAGTGGTGACTATTCAATTTGTTAGAATGAACCTGAAATTTTAAACCAGAACCAACAGTTTCTGACCAGCTTCAGAGTACTGAATTTTTTTTTTTTTTTTTTTTTTTTTTTTTTTTTTTAGTTGGAATCTTGCTCTGTCACCCAGGCTGGAGTACAGTGGCATGATCTTGGCTTACTGCAACCTCTGCCTCCCAGGTTCAAGTGATTCTCCTGGCTCAGCTTCCCAAGTAGCTGGGATTACAGGTGCCCACCACCACACCCAGCTAAATTTTGTATTTTTAGTAGAGATGGAGTTTCACCATCTTGGCCAGGCTAGTCTCGAACTCCTGACCTTGTGATCTGCCTGCCTCGGCCTCCCAAAGTGCTGGGATTACAGGCATGAGCCACCACATCTGGCCTCCGAATACTGAATTTTTAAGTAATGTTTAATTAGAACAATTAAGTAATGTCTAATTTAATTTTTAACTCATTTTTAATTTAATGCTAATTTTTACAATACTTATTTTTACCTTGGTGAAAGTGATTTGACTCCTAGATTTGCTTTAAAATAATGGTGGGGGCAGGGCAGGTATAGTGGAAACAAGATCGGCCATGAATTGATCACTGTTGAATTGGATTGAATCTGGGTGAAGGGCCCATGGAAGTTTATTAGACTATTCTCTCTTCTTTTGTACGCTTAAGATTTTCCATAAAACAAGTGTAGAATAAGTAAATAAACCAAGATAAATCAAGTGTTTTAAATTTAAAAAGCTTACATTACAAAAAACAAGTGGCTGAGGCTAGGCGAGGTGGCTCCCGCTTGTAATCCCAGCCCTTTGAGAGGCTGAGGTGGGAGGATCCATTTGAGGCCAGGAGTTCAAGGCCAGCCTGGGCAACTTGGTGAAACCCCATCTCTACCAAAAATACAGAAATTAGCCAGGCATGGTGGTGTGCACCTGGAGTCCCAGCTACTCAGGAGGCTGAGGTGGGAGGTTTATGTGAACCTGGGAGGCAGAGGTTGCAGACAGCTGTGATCATGCCACTGTGCTCCCATCTGGATGACAGAGCAAGACTCTGTTCCAAAAAATAGGAGAAAATAAGTAATTAACAAATAAAACCAAGCGGCTGCTGCGCAGTGCTGCTAGTCCAGGAGGCAGAGCTGTTGGAGCCGTTCTCTGCTCACCCAGCCCCTGTGCCACGTTTGTACTTGGCTTTCCAGAGAGCGAAGGAGCATTTTCCGGATTCTCTATGGGCTCTGTTTGGGCCAGTAGCTTTGGCTCAGCTCTACTCATGCCCTTTTGGCTCTGTGAGAGGAATAAGGGGAAGAGGGAAGGTGGGATTGGGGGCAGTTGGTCAGACCGACCGTGAACAACTCCCTCCCTCCCTCTGGACTCAGTTTCCCCATTTGTCAAATGAGGGGACTGGCGGAGAGAACTCCAAGATCCCTTCCACCCTTGGATACCCCATCTCATGGTAGCTGTTTCCTTTCACAGTCCAGTGGCACAGGATGAACCCCTGCATCACAGCCTCAGCAAGGCACAGAATGAGTCCCCACAGCCCTTCATGGCGACAGGAAAGGTCAGTGAGTCACACGAGTATGGGAAGCCCCTTCCTCTCTGGCCCAGGCAGAGGCAGACAGAGAAGCTTGTTAGAGGCTGGGCTGGAGGGGGGCAGGAAGCCAGGGTCTGGATGGAGAGTGGAGAGTCCCAGACCTGGGGTGTTGTGGGGAACAGGTGGGAATGAGGAACGGCTTTGGGAGACTGGGATAACCCTGGTGGTCGGGAGTGGTGGCCCTCAAGGTGTACTGGCACCTAGCTTCTAGCCCATGGGTTCCTTCCCATTCTAGAGGTGGGCAGAGAAACGGGTAGGAGTGGGGGAGAGGGTGGCTTTATGTCCTTACATGCTTCCAGGGAAGGAAGGCAGTGGTGCCTGTCTGTTCTCAGTGGTATTGGCTCTGACAGTCTTCCTCCTCACTTCTAACTTAGTCCCTCCTCCAGCAGTTCCTCTGAAGAAGCATTTGGCAGGGCCGTGGGTGAGGAGAGGAGCCTGGCCAGTGGCCCAGGCACCTGGAGCTCTTAGCAGGCACTGGCCCAGGTGGCCCAGGGGCTGGGAACAGAGGAGGGATGTGGAGGGACACCCTGCCCTTTGTGGCCACCCACAGATCCTCCCCCACTCCAAGACAAGGCAGGACCTGGGGTCTGGAAGAGACCTGGGAGAAAATCCTGTTTTTTCCCCTCACAGAAGTCTCCAGAATCCCTGGTCAAGCTGGATGCAACCCCATCGTCCTGCCCACGGCACGTGAGGATCAAAAACTGGGGTAGCGGGATGACTTTCCAAGACACACTTCACCACAAGGCCAAAGGGGTAAGTCTGGGGCTTCAGGGAAAACCACCTTTGTCCCAAGCTGGCAAAGCTGCCTGGGCTTTGTGGATCAACCAGGTGTTCCCTGGGCAAACCAAACAATCATCTGCTTGGGCAAAGGGGTCTGGGAACAGTGACATTCCCCACAGATGACAGTAGGAAGTAAGGGATGCAACTCCCTGTTAACCACCCTAGTAGATAATGGATAATCCAGAAGATCAAGTTAATGATTGCAGAAACAAATTCCTGTCTTTGTCAGACAGATTTCAGGATACTGTCAGGGAGAATTTTCTGTCAGAACGGCTTAGTGCTGGACTGTATTACATCAGGAGGTAGAAAGCTCCCTGTCACTGGAAAGAATTAAATACAATTTGATAGATTGCAGAGAGGTTCAAGTATCCAGTGAGTGGTTGGACTAATGTCTTTTAAGGCTTCTTTCTGTCATCTAAGGTTTTTATTCTAACTTCAGGATACATTCTATGGTTGTAAAGTGGGGAAGATTGACAATTTCAAGACCATGAAAGCAAAATGATTTCCCACATGCCCCGAAAACCACCACAGTTAACATTCAGGTGTACTTCATTCTCGTGTGTGTGCATGCGTGCGTGTGTGTGCGTGTGTGTGTGTGTCCCATCCTATGTCTCATTTCAGTTTGTTTTGGCCAAATACCAATACCAAATGGCACCTGGTTCCCATAGGAGCCATATTGGATTGACTTTGCTCCAGATGTGGGGCTGGCTGGGGAGCAGGGCAAGAGACTGAAGCCAGAGTAGGGAGACAAACCTGACTCACACCACTGGGGTTCAGCCAGTGGATGAGAAGAGATCTAGGTGGGAGAAAGCCAGGTGGACTCCAAGGAGGAGGTGCCACAGGAGTGGAGAGGAGGTACAGGGAGCTGGGGCAGCCAGAGAGGAGCCAGCTAGCCAGGAGAGCTGGCCCCAGAGGAGGGTGGCAGTAGGCTGAATGGCCCACCCTCACCACCTGCCCCTCTCTTTCCAGATTTTGACTTGCAGGTCTAAATCTTGCCTGGGGTCTATTATGACTCCCAAAAGTTTGACCAGAGGACCCAGGGACAAGCCTACCCCTCCAGAAGAGCTTCTACCTCAAGCTATCGAATTTGTCAACCAATATTATGGCTCCTTCAAAGAGTAAGGCTTCCTCCTGCAGGGCCGCTCCCTCTGGCCCTTCCCCTTGCTCTCCTGTCTCCACCCATCGCCCTCTGATCCTAGCTAGATCCCTTTCCCTCCCAGATTTGCACTGTGAAATCACTATGGTTTTGCAGGGCGAGAATCATAGTTTTCTAGGGGAGAAGACTCTGGAGCAGGTTCTCATAATTGTGGGATAGAGTTATGCACAGTGACACTGGTGAAAAGTGACTGAATTTGAATCCTGGCTCACACATTAACCTCTGCGGAGTCCTTGGGAAATCGATTTACCCTCTCTGTGTCTTGATGTCCTCGTCATATGAATGGCAAAAGCCATAACTACTTTTGCACCAACCTCATATAAAATGGGGAGAACCATAGAAGGTGGCTCATGGGATTTTTATGAGAATTCAGCAAATCTAGCATAGCATCCTGGCACACAGAGACCTTGACTATAAATTAAGATGGACCCTTTAATTATGAAATGTTGGCTGGGTGCGGTGGCTCACACCTGTAATCCCAGCACTTTGGGAGGCTGAGGCAGGAGAATTGCATGATCCCGGGGGGCAGAAGTTGCAAATGAGCTGAGATTGCGCCACTGCACTCCAGCCCTGGCGACAGTGTAAGACTCCAACTCAAAAAAAAAAAAAAAAATGAAATGTTTGAGACAGAAAGGATCTCTGAGACCACCTAGTCAGGCCCCTACTCCTACAGGTGTGAACACGGAAGCTGGTGACTTACCCGAAGTCATAGCATTCCAGCTAGAAGCCAGGCCACCTGACTCAGAGAGGGCAGGCCATTGCTCTTTGCCCTGACCCTGGTGGGGGTCTACATGCCTGGAGTTCTCTTTTTTTGCTACCCAGTGAGGCTTCCCTGAGGGCCGTGCTGGACAGCCTTCATTTCTGCTGTCCATCGGTTATTTGATTGACAGACACACATCAAACACCGGGTATGCCCCAGCCTTGTGTCAGACACTGGAATACAAAGATTTTTAATTGTCATTTGCCAATTTTATTGCCAACGTATACAATTTTAATCATTCAAAGAGAGGTTGTATAGCACTGTGGCCTTCCCAGGTTCAAATCCTGGCTGTGCCTCTTACAAGCTGAGTAAACTGGGCAGATTACTTTGTCTCTCTGTGCCTTGATTTTCTTACCTGAACATGGTGATGAAAACAGGACCCACCTTGCAGGAGGCGGGTGATTTGCAGGAGTTTATAAAGCTGAAAGGAGCTAAAGCACAGAAAGAGCTAGGAACGATGCCTGGCCCTTAGCAAGCAGGACATAAGTATTAGTCGTTATGTTTTTAGAACACTGTGTTGTCCACATAAAATACATGGCTATGTAATTCAGGCCCCTTTAAAACTCTAAGATAAAAATGCACAAAGAGATTGTAAGAAAGAATGTCTGAAGGAAATGGATTGTTTTCTAGGCTGGGGGGCGGGGTGGGGCATGGCTCTGGGGACAGAGCCTCACACAGCACCACATCGCATGAAGTGGGCCACAGACGTGTACCTGGGACTCCCTGGCAGAACAACTGGCTTCTGGTGGTACCACTTCCATTTTTCTTTTCTTTTTNTTTTTAACACCTAGACCATTTCTCAGGATTGTTTTCTTTTTTTTGAGACGGGGTCTTGCTCTGTCTCCCAGGCTGGAGTGCAGCGGCACAATCTCTGCTCACTGCAGCCTCGATCTCTTGGATCTAGTGATTCTCCCACCTCAGCTTCCTGAGGAGCTGGGACCACAGGTGTGCACCACAATGCCCAGCTAATTTTTAAAATTTTTAGTCACAACAGGGTCTCACTATGTTGCTCAGGCTGGTCTCAAACTCCTGAGCTCAAGCGATCCTCCCGCCTCAGCCTCCCTAAGTGCTGGGATTTCGGGTGTGTGCCACTGTGTCTGGCCCACCTCCAACTTTCTACAACCCTAGAATGTCTGAGCTGGGAGGGACCTTGAGTCTTCAGAAGTGGCCCTGATCTTCCAGGGTCAGTGGTCCTCAACCCTGGCTGCACAGAAGCATCACCTGGAGAGCCTGCAAAATTCTGGTGCCAGGGTCCCTTGAGTGGAATCTGGGGAGGTGAGAATGAGGCAGACATTTGTGTTCTTCAAAAGCTCCCAGGTGATTCTTATGTGCATCCTGGATTGAGCACCCTGTGAGGGGTTGCCTGCTTCGTGACTACAAACTGCACCATCCTTGGCCCTTCAGCTCAGTTAATTAATGAGCCTTTCGGGGTTCAGGGATTTTCCTGGATGGGTTTCTTCAGGCCACAGTAGTTACGTTATTTATGTATTTATTTATTTAGCACAAAGCACGTATGCACCACAACCCTATGAGACTGGGATTATTATCTTCATCTTACAGACAAGGCAAGTCCACAGAGGAGATGTACCTTGCTCAAAGTCACACCCTCTGAAGCCCCACAGTGGGGGTTTGAACCCAGGCAGCTGGCACCCGAGCCCTTGCTTTTCCTGTCCATGCTCTAGTACCTGGCGTGTGGCCTCGCAGGTTCCCGACTCTATTCCGGACCTGGGAGGCCTTACTGTTGTGTGGAAGGTAATCGGGCAGGTGTTCAGAAGCCCAGGGGGGTGACAGAGCCAGGCTTGGTGGTGCTGGAACCCATTTGCTTCTCACAGAGGAAAGTTGCATTTCTCCAAGTCACAAGTACATACCTCGAACCGCTGCTCCCCCCGACCAAGAGATCCTGGGGCTGTGGACAGGGAATGGTAGCCTTTCCTCACAAGGATGATAGCAGCCTAAGACAAGACCAGCGGGGTGGGTTCAGTGGCCTTTTGTAGCTGAAGAATCATAGTATATTTAGAGATTGTAACTTGCTGAATGTAACATTGGAATCTGTTCACTGATGTTGAAAGCTACTCCTTTTTCAGAGCTCATAGACATAGCATGTCTAATGCCTTAGAAACATAACTATATGAAAATGGTTATCACATCTAAAACTCTGAAGACATTGGATGTGAATGTAAAAAATAATCCTTTCTTGCATATGCGTGTGCTGACCACTATGTGTGTTGGCGGTGTGGGTGTTATGGTGACCATTACTGTTTTCATGCTCGGGTGCAGAGGGGGGCATATTGCTGGAAGCTTTGTTTGGGGAGGGAGCTCTCCCAGTAGTGGGGCAGTTCCAGCCTCACCCAGCAGCTCCTTAGAGCAGGGATGTCCTTGGGGATAAATATCATCGAATGTTTTGTCTTTGTGCTTTTTTTCTCTAATCAAGGAAAAGTTGTCGAGACACTCTTCATCCACAGAAAGGCCATTTTGTTTGGAGTTACCCACTGTCCTTAATCAGGAGTTCATTCTTTAAATAGCTTTATTGTGTTTCAGAAGGCTTTGGTGCTGATTGAAAATCTCAAGGTTGTTGTTGTTTGTGGGGTGCGTGTGTGTGTGTGTGTGTGTGTGTGTGTGTGTGTGTTTCAAAGCCTTTCTGACTGAGTCCCTCCCTTTGGGATATTTTTGAAGTCTGGGAGGGGAGGAAAGAAGCAAGTTTAGAATTGCAGCTGGAGTGACTGAGTGAGCAGTTCTGAGGCTGAGGAACAGCACGGTTTAGAGAGACTTTGACGTCGGACCACACCATGTGCAGCTCCTTTCTGGGCAGGCCCTGGGACCTTGCAGGCTGAGCTCCAACAGTCAGGTCCCAGTCCTGGCCTGACCAGGCTCCTGAGAAAGGGTGGGTAGGCCCTCAGCATCCCTGGGCTTACAGTCCCCGCTAGGGTGGAAGGTGGAAGGTCACATTGCCGACAGTTAAGAACCCGGGCTTGGGATCAGGGCGACCTGGGTCTGAATCCTGACTTTGCTTTCCTGTACTTATATTCCCAGGCCTGGTACTTAACCTCCTAGACCCCTGAGACTCTTGGCTATAAAACAGACGCAAGGCCGGGTGCAGTGGCTCATGCCTGTAAACCCCGCACTTTGGGAGGCCGAGGTGGGTGGATTGCCTGAGCTCAGGAGTTTGAGACCAGCCTGGGCAACACAGTGAAACCCCATCTCTACTAAAAAATACAAAAAAAATTAGCCAGGTATGGTGGTGTATGCATGTAGTCCCAGCTACTCAGGAGGCTGAGGCAGGAGAATTGCTTGAACCTGGGAGGCAGAGGTTGCAGTGAGCCGAGATTGTGCTACTGCATTCCAGCCTAGGTGACAGAGGGACACTCTTCCTTAAAAAAAAAAAAAAAAGATGCAAAAGATGCAAAAATACCTCCCTCCCAGACCCAGTGAGACCCTGCCTGCGAGCTGCTTCACCCAGTGCCTGGCTCACGTGGGTACCAAGTACACTGGAGCTGACTCGGAGGGACTGGCTCATCATCTCTCAGCCATGGCAAGGCAGGAGGGCACTCTCCTGACCAATGGAGAGGCGGGACGTTGCTAGGGCTGGATGGGACACTCCTCCGAGGCTCATAAGTGTCTGAAAAGGATTGTACCCCTTACTGAGATGAAAATGATTAAGGAAAAAAGCACCTGAAAAGAAGCAGTGTTCTAGTGGGCTCAGCACCCGCTAAGTAATCTTTGCAGGACTCAGTGTAAAAATGAAAATGTGGGCTCCTTAGTTTAAGATGATGAAGAATTTCAAGATGGGGACAAAAGCATGAAGCATGGGCACTTCTAGGCTGGGTGTGGGGTCCCCATAGCCAGCCCTGGAGGGAGCTGTCTCTGGTGAGAGACATCTTGCCCTTCTGATGTCCTATTTCAGTTCCTGCTTCTGTGGATTGAATTAATCCCCATGTAAGGCCATCTCATTGTTGATCTTCCTGCTGTCTTCCTGTCCCCCAGGGCAAAAATAGAGGAACATCTGGCCAGGGTGGAAGCAGTAACAAAGGAGATAGAAACAACAGGAACCTACCAACTGACGGGAGATGAGCTCATCTTCGCCACCAAGCAGGCCTGGCGCAATGCCCCGCGCTGCATAGGGAGGATCCAGTGGTCCAACCTGCAGGTGAACTCCCTGAGACCCAAGCGGGAGAGGGCTGGAGGCGGCCAGGCCCTGAGCAGATGGCTTGGAGCAGCCACACACAGCTGTGCCCAGGCCTCCCAGGACCGAAGCCACGGCCCCAGGTCCTCCCTCACCTTCCTGAATGTTGCAATGGGGGCCCTAGGGTCCTCCTCTAGAAGCCTTGAATCCTGTTTCAGCACCAGGGTTTCCAGCTGCCCGTTCTCTATTGTGTTAAATTTGGGAGACCAAATGCCATCAACAAATTAAACTACCACCTTGTTTTTATTATTCTTGAGGCCGTGGTGCTGCAAGAGATGTTGTTTTCCTCGGATGTTCGAACTCTTGGCTCCAAGAGAACATTTATTTAGCCTAGCCTCCTAGGCCATCGTTTTGTTGGGGAATCGTTTGTTGCAAGCGCTTGGACAGAGAAATTGATTAGAACCGCCAGTGAAACCAGCTGTGGCTGTGTAATACGTGCTGCTGTGGCAAAGGACCTAGCCTGGGGCAGTGGGAATCCTGATTCATGGTGCTTTCAAGTCAGGTTTTCTTGGAATTCTGGCTTTGCTGGGTTCTTCTGAGTGGGATTGCCTGTGCTCCCCTAGAGGGCAGCCGTGAGATGAGAGTGGTGGGTGCGGACGGGAGGATGCACTCTCGTGCGTGGTGTTGAGTGTTTGGGTTTTGAGTGTTTCGGCTGCTCCACTGGTTCCCAGTGGCTTCTGACCAGCCTCAAAGCCTCTGTCTGCCCAGTCTTTGATGGGCATGGTCTGGGTGGGCTGTTGCAGGTCTTCGATGCCCGCAGCTGTTCCACCGCCCGGGAGATGTTTGAACACATCTGTAGACACCTGCGTTACTCTACCAACAATGGCAACATTAGGTTGGTGCACCTTTCCCGGGGCTGTGGAGGGGCTCGCCGTACTTGAGAATCTCAGCCAAAAGACGACTGGGCCTAGGGGAGGCATCTCCAGCTCCAGGAGAAACCAGGGAGAAAGAAACAAGAGAAAGACTCTGGCTTCTTTAGGGACCTCCAGTAGTGAGCCCAGCCCCCATGAGCTCAGCTCCCGCAGCCCTTGGTTTCCTTCTGACCTGGAGCCATTTGGAGGGGATGGAGGATCTTTGAGAAGTAACTGCTTCACTATTCAGGGTTGGGGCTCCCCATTTTTTGAAGGGATAGGAGGTTACCTTCCTCTCCCAACCAAAGAGGTCAAAGCTAATAGGACTGAACAGCCCATTAGATCATTCGTTAATCTTTTTGTTCAGCAAACACTCAATGCCCGCCTAATGCAACCCAACACAGGAGGAGGCTGAGGGAGCAGGGGGAAGAGGGGGCATGGGGGTTAGGAGCACAGTGACTAGGACCCTAAGAGACTTCCAGCCTCCATTAACCTATGACCTGCACTAGACAAACATCCGGCTAACTCGACTGCAAGGAGGGAGACATGCAGCAAGAGAAAGACTGTGGGAGGGCGGCTAACCCTGCCTGGCGGATGGGAAGGCCCCCTTGAGGGGGTGGGCCCTGACACTCAAGGGAGGGCAGGAGGAGAGGGCGTGTCGGGAGGCCAGCTCAGTCAGCTCGGGATCGGGGGCTGCAGAGCAGGCACGGTGGAGGGGGAGGTAGGGCCAGTGCAGGATGATTGGGCCCCTCCGTGGCCAAGTGGTAAACAGCACTGTTCCTGTCCCTGGAAGGTCGGCCATCACCGTGTTCCCCCAGCGGAGCGATGGGAAGCACGACTTCCGGGTGTGGAACGCTCAGCTCATCCGCTACGCCGGCTACCAGATGCCCAATGGCAGCATCAGAGGGGACCCTGCCAACGTGGAATTCACTCAGGTACCGGGCCCAGCCTCAGCCCCCAGCCTTTGGGGCAGGGAGCCTCGTGGTGAGCGAGTGACAGAATGGAGCCCAGAGGAGACACGGTGCCCAGGCTTGCAGACTCACGGGGCCTGTCTTGTTTCCCAGCTGTGCATCGACCTCGGCTGGAAGCCCAAGTACGGCCGCTTCGATGTGGTGCCCCTGGTCCTGCAGGCCAATGGCTGCGACCCTGAGCTCTTCGAAATCCCACCTGACCTTGTGCTTGAGGTAGCCATGGAACATCCCAAGTAAG